AAAGAAAGTTAATGCCTGCTCCCAACATCCTTGGAACCACCATTTTCAGTTCTTCCCTGCCACTACTGTTGTTGTCAAACTAGCGATGCCCACTGGCCTTGCAGTGGGACAACTGGAGACTTGGTCTCTACTGAAGCTTCAGCAATTCCTCAACCCAAACTCAGAAAGTTTGCACAAGTTTGCTGAGATGCTATCATGTGCTTAAAGTTTTTCATCCTATGTGTATGTATGGTCCCAGGTACCCTTGATACCAGTTCTAGTTGGTACGGTCCCAGCTAACTACATGTGTGAGGTTCTAGTCATCTAGTCAATATCAAACAGAATGTTCTACTTTTATAGTTAACAGGGTTTGTATTGCTCACTACTTAGATGTGTTTTGTACCACAGGCCAACAACTTATAGCATCCTGCTGTTCATTTTGTTTCTGTTGTTCAAAGATAACTAAAAGTAACAATTTTAATTACTTTCCAATAAAGAGAAAGAAAACTGATACATTTGAAAAGATTGCAATTGTAACAGTAACTAATTATGGGCTGAAACTCAAACAAATTTGAAAAATAAAATTTTTGAAGTTCTACAAACATCTAACAAAAGCTTGCACAAAAACTCTCTAAAGTTATCTCCCTAGATCAGGGGTCGGCAACCTTTCCCCTTTAAGGGCCGAGGGACTTCAGCTCCCAGAATCCCAGGAGCTATTGTCCAACATGGGACTATTGTCCAACATGGCTGAGGCTTCTGGGAGCTGAAGTCCCTCAACCCTTAAAGGGGAAAGGTTGTCTACCCCTGCCCTAGATATTGTGCAAGTATAATATGGGGTTGGGACATTTGTGGAAGGGGGGTGGTTTTCCTGAGTATGGAAAGCATCATCTTTACTCTGCTTTCAGACAAAAGTTCTTAAACTGAAACAGCTGCAGTAAGATCTCACAAAACAACAACTATCCTTTCCCCTGTGGGCAAGTGTGAGGAAAGCCATTTTTCTTCCTGATGTTATGAGGATTCCCCTGCCTCCATTCCTTTTCAGAAGAGCACTGGAAAGACAAGGTTTGATGAAGTTGTTTAAGGGATCCAGCATAATAGGGGGATGAGACTAAAAATATGCATGAGTTTAAAATGCTTATTCAGTGCAGTTGGATATGTCTTGCTTGGGTTCAGATGGAACACTCTCTGTTTCAGGCATGTTTTCAAGGCACTTTATCCATTTGTTTGTGATACGGAGCACATCTGTGGAACTGTACTGAGTCCCCCCTGCCCCATACCATGATTTCATCAAGAGCAGTGGCATGATTCCAGAGGGACGGCACTCTTGCTCTTTCATTAGAGGCATGAAATGATTTCTGTTCCCCACCTTGTTTTGTAAAGAATGATTTGTAAAGATCTGTACAGGGTTTTTGTGGGCTTTTCAAGCTGTGAGGC